GTATTAAGTAAGAGTAGGTAGTATAGTATTTTTCTTTTTTTTTTCTTTTTTTTTCCTTTTTTTTTTCTTTTCTTTTACTTCAGTTAGTAACTATTTTTTTTTTTTTTTTTTTTTTACGTTATATCTTTACATGGAATGAAGTAACATTTCAGTTTGACGCTACGCACGAACGTAATACTTGAGCTTAATTTTTAAACGTTGGAGAAACGCATCCTTCGCACCTGACGGGTAGCAGTAGTAGCAGTAGTAGTAGTAGTAGTAGTAGTAGTAATAGTAATAGTAGTAGTAGTAGTAGTAGTGTAATAGTAATAGGCTTTCCTTCGTTCTCTTTTCCTTCCCTCCTTCCTTCCCTCCCGCGTAATTCGTACGCGCGCCACGAGGAAGGTAAGAAAGTGAAGTAAGAAGATGATCGAAAGAGAGACACACACACATACATATATAAATATATGTATGTATGTATACTCGAAAGCGGGTGAAAACTCGCTTAAAAATTCACGCGAGCGCGAGAAATTGAACATCTGAACTCTGCTCATTCGTGTAGGTACGGAACGTGTTGTGTTACGACACGCGGCGTGAACAACAAAATAATAATAATAATAATAATAATAATAATAATAATAATAACAAATAGAATACAATATTAACACTGGACCAAGTCAATTAGGCTCACTCTCGATACAATAATAGCAATAATAATATCGATAATTTCAATAATTCGTAATATTAATAATAATAATAATAATAATAATTAATTATTAATTAATTAATTAATCGATCCTCACTATTCATTTATTTAAATATCCCTATATGCGATGTACCAGGCGATAACGAAAGATTATCTAACGTATATCATATATATAATGTGTGTATGTGTGTGTGTGTGTGTATATATATATATATATGTGTGTGTATTGTTTCAGTTCGAACACAATTTGCATCCTCGTGCATTGTTTTTATCACAAACATTAATGTTCCGCGAAGCAACGGATATTCATATTCTGTCCTTATCGACTGCAAAAGAATTATTTCGAGGAATCGTGCTCGTTCGTTAGCGCCTCGTACGATAATAATAACGTCGTTCAATATCGTGTTTCAATTTTTTTTTTTTTGCCATATATTCAATAGCTATGTACAATTCAACGTTAATAGCCTACGCTTGTATATCTTTCTCTCTTTTCGCTCTTGCTCGCTCTTATCAATATCCTTTTCTCTCTCTTTTTTTCCTCTCATTCATTCTCTCCCTCTCACTCTCTTTCACTCTGAATATTAATAATATTACATATATATATATATATATACCTTTTTTTTTTTTTTTAATAGATCCCTGTATTCTTCCGAATTTGCTTCGCATAAAATTTTACGCAGTTCACGACATATTTTATTATTTTATTTAATAAGCACGAGAGCGACTGCTAGAGCGATTTATTATTTTTTTATATTTTATTTCTTCGGTTTAATTATAACCTTTCCTTCTTTCCTTTCCTTTTCTCTCTTTCTTCCTTTCTTTCTTTATCTCGAGTCCTCGTGTATCACAAGATAAAATCAATTAACGCGCCACGAACACATTATCTAAATTCATTTAAACACCTGCTTCTTCTATTCGATTAGATCGCCCCTATTTCCTTCTCATCCTCCTCTCGCTCGAAAAAGCTTGCTTTCGTTCTTTTCTTTCCTCGTATTGCACGCGTCGTGCAATTGCGCGGTTGCGAATGCGCAGCTAGACGGGTGGCGCATGCGCGGACGCGTACCTTTCGCAAAAAAGCTGATCGAAAATCCCTCTATCGTCTCTGGACAAAAAGTCACGTTTACGCGTCACGTTGTACAATTTAAGAATAAGGGGGAGGGGAGGGGGGGGGAAGAAAGAAAACAATTGTACCGTGTGCAATAATTAAACGCGAGAATTCCACAAGAAAGATTGATGAATCCAGTGCTATCCAGTTGAGAATAACCTGAGCGGTATATTTACAAACAGCTCGCTCTGTATTAATCCCCTAATCGAAAATGTTATTACGCACCTTAAGGGAATGGAAAAAAAAAAAAAAAAGAAACGGTAGAAATGAGAAAAGAGGAGGAACATTTAATAAGTACCGCGAGTAAAATGTATCGCGTGCGTATGCATCGTATCGTGATAAACGACGTGGAAAGAGACGATGATCGCTTCCCCTATTCGATTTGGCTTGGAACCGCGGCGTGGAAAAAAAAGAAAAAGAAAAAAAAAAACAGGCTTCTGTTAACAACTCTATCCAGCTTATAAAGTGGCGGCGATCATACAACAGCGGGGGCGATTCGATTCTCGCCGTAGTAAAAGTCTAGTAAAAGTATCCAAGAGGCCTCTATCGAAAAAAAACGGCGGCGAAGTATGGATGAAGAGTGTTTATTAATAGGCACCTTACGTACTACGTAGGTAGGTAGAGACTTTAACGTGCACATAGAAACAGACGGTTCCACCGGTCTGTGGAGACTGCGTCGTTCGTCGATTCGTCCGGCCGGTGAATCCCCCGCGGAGGGGCGGGGGAGGGGAGGGGAGGGAGGGAGTGAGCGGCGGAGGGGGGAGGGGCGAGGAGGGGAAGAGATAATTTTTTTTTTCTCGAGAACGGAGCGAAAGAAGAGGAAGAGAAGAGAAGAAAAGAGATGGAAGAAGAAACGCGAAGTTAAGTAATGTAAGTACACAAGTCGGAGCCGCGTTCCTTCTTTCCCTTTTCTTTCTTTTTTTTTTCTTTCTTTCTTTCTTTTCCCATTCGGTCTCGGGGGAAACGTGTTTGTGCGTACGGGGAGTGGGGTGTGTGTGCGTGGAGGGGTTGAACAGGAGGAGGGTGTGGTTCCCTTTTGGATCCTAGATCCAAAAGACGCGAAACAATGGACGCGGCCGGACAAGATAATTAATTAATTAGTCGCTCAATTAATTAATCACTTAGACCGCTAATTTCTAAGCCCTTAAAAACTACTGATTCGGTTTTATCTCACCCGCTGAGGTGGCTTCCCGTCCGCGCTCGGGTACGATTTATAATTTAATACCGCGGCGAGAGCCCCTCGGAGCGCGTCCAGTCCATTTAATCGGGCGCACGGCTTTGCTTTGCAGAAAATTTTTTTCCTTTTCGGCTTCCCTTCGACTTCGAACAGTTGTATCGACGTGACGGAATATATCCCGGCCGGTAACGTGGACACACCGATGGACGATTCACGTAACAATTGTCGTTAATGATCTGGGAATTTTCAAGGGAATTGACAAATCTTCATTTACTCGTCAAATTCAACGTTCCACGAGGAACGTTACAAACCTCGAGAGAGAAAAATAAATTAAATATATATAACATATAATTTACTCCTTAAACCTTGCTTCGTCGAGGGAGAAGGAAGAAAAAAGTTCGGACGAAGAAGGAGGAGAAAAGAGAGAAAAAAGAGGAGGGACGCGAATTCAGCGGTCGACGAGTGACGGTCCATCGGCGGCCTACTATGCCGTTCGCGGCATGGATCTCCACCACGTGTGTCCCACTGGAAGCGAAGTGTCCCGGGCCGGCCTGAGTCACCGAGACCTGTTACGAATCGTGACGATGGCCAAGGCCGGTTAGGGGCGGGGGGGAAAAGCCTTTTTAGAAGTTCTGCTCGCCGTACATCCCGGGGAACCGGACAGCGTGTGCTCCGAGCTCGGCGGGCGAGAACTCGTCCTATGTGGCCAAGTGTGCGAACTGGCCTGGGTGGGGCGCGAACTGGTAAGGGTGGCCGTAAGGCGACATGTGGTACGGTACAATGTTCATGCTCGCCATCTTGTGCTCCTTTTTCCACTTCATCCGCCGATTCTGGAACCAGATCTTGATCTGCCGCTCCGTCAGGCAGAGGGCGTGCGCGATCTCGATGCGACGCCGCCTGGTCAGGTATCGGTTGAAGTGGAACTCCTTCTCGAGCTCGAGCGTCTGGTACCTGGTGTACGACGTCCTTTGCCGCTTCACCTCGCCGTTCGCGTTCACCGTGCCTGTCGAGCAGATATTTCCGTCAGAAACAGAGACTTTTTTTCTTTTTTTATATTATGGTGAATATAATATAATACAATTGCATCCCAAGGATCCTCGATTGCTAATCTTAAAATTATTATTATTACGCATATAACCAATAATATAATAAACAATTTTAATATAAATATGTTACGTGCTATTTATATTAATTCATCGTAACGAATCAAATATAATGTAATTTTTTTTTTCTCGATAAAAATGTAAAAATTATCAAGAGAGACCTAACTCCTTTTGAACAGGTTGTTCAACGAGATATTATTCCCGTCGAGGATAAACTTGTCCATTATCGAATTGTCGTCGAGGCAAACGTAACGGTTCACGGAGCTCGGCTAATTATTTCAACGAGGCGACGCTTGATCGAAGCTGCTACCGGCCGCTTGGCAGCTGTTTCGCCTATTTACCCACACGCCCGGGCCATAAATAATTTTATGCAACGCTGTTATTACGATACCGCTCCGCCTATTACACCTACTCCGTTGCAAAACGCTCGAGTAACGAATAGCTCTCGAGGAGAAACCTCTCGAGGCCAGCTTTAAATACCATATTAACCTGTTACTCCTACCTGTAACATGCTTTTCCCCGGACTTATTTACCTGTGAAACACTTATTGGTTATTTGTCGATAACCGATGCACACATATTTATTCTTCAAATTTATCTTTCGATCGAGGTGGCAGCAGGCGCTCACAGATATCGAGAAGTTGAAAAAGCAGCAATTTCCACCTCTGTCGCCCGCGAAACTCGTCCACGAGGAAACGAATTCGAGGGAGAGTTTAATGGCCGAGCGCGCGTTATCACTTTCCTCCCGAAGTAACACGACTTTTTAACGAATAGCTGCTCGCGATATCTTGCCCGATTCGCTCTCTCTGTCTCATTATTGCACGCCACTATGAGGCCGGCACGCGTACCGAGCGAAGGGACGCAGCGTGGATCCTTTCCGCGTGATTAATTGCCAACCGTGTCCCGGTGACGTCGATACAACGCAGACGATCCGCCCGCTGTGCGATTTTGGCAAAAAGGAAAAAAGAAATCGAAGGAGAAATCCTGTCGTTCGAGTTCCACTTCTTTCTTTCTATATTTTCCGCGAAAGAGAGAGAGAGAGAGAGAGAAACTATCTGTTTATGAAAATACGTGCGACAATTGCTGGTTGAAATAAGTGTTAAACTAATGATAGAGGAGGTCTAACGTTGCGTCCGTTTTTCGATAAAAGAGAGGGAGAGACGGAGGGGAAGGGAGGAGATTGGGGCCCGACTTTCACCGGGACCCGCATTCTTCCGTCACAGGGGCCGGTGTGCATCGACGTTGACAAGAGTCGGACGGCGATTAATCATCGCTTCTCTCGAGGAAGAGAGAGAGAGAGAGAGAGAGAGAGAAAGTTTTCGGTGTGTATTGCAGTCACGGTGGATCGCGCCAGTTCGCCGCCGTATCTTTATCACAGGCTGATAATGGATCATTATCCGCGCGCGCTTTGTTCGCCGGTTGAACGAACCCGGCGTGCCCGAATACGAATCCGCGGACGCATTCACGGATTATTCAAAGGCTTCTCTCTTTCTCTCTGTCTGTTTCTGTCTCTCTCTCGAGCACGTACACGCACGCGCAGGCGCACAGACGCTCGCGTCACGGTGTTGCGCGAGGGGTCTTTGTTGTTGCGAATCCTTGGTCGTGGCATTCTTTCACAGCGATGCGACGAAACGCGGACGCGAGCTATTAATCATTTAGAAAAGAGGATTTAGAAAAAGGGCCCTGGTGTCCTTCCCGATGACAGAACTTGGACATCCGAGGCCTCGAGTTCGATCTCTCGTGTTTACGCGAGATTCTGATCGACAAGCTTTGCGGTTCCTTCTCTTTTTACACGTGTGGATCTTTCTTGGAGAATAAATTGGTTTTTAAGGTTATTAGAAAGTTGGTATTAAAGAGTGTTTGGTATGTTGGGTTGCGATGAACAAGAGATTAAGGGTAAATGCTTTTTGATACGATCGATCTTGTTTAAGAATTTATATTTATTCCTACGTGTTTCTTTAAATGATAAATTATATAGCGTCACTTCTTGGTTTTAACTCTAATATCCAATATACGTGTATAAAATTGCCAATTTTTCCTTAAAAACAATTTAATCAAAAATATCTATCTATCTTGTCAATTCTTAATAAATACGAAAGCGAAAGAAAAACACAAGAAGAGTGTCCATCCATTTACCGTTTAAAATCATTCTTCATCGGATATCATATTTCCACTCTTGCTCCTTAAACGATACTTCCTCCAAAGTAACACGTAAATCATTTTATTCCGTTCCCCAACCGACACAAAGTAAAACTTCGTAAAAACTGTTCGAGAATAAGTTTTCCTCCATCCTCGAGCAACCAAAAATAACGCGAAGAAATTAAGCCGAGTGATAATTGAACGGGTGTGAGCGAGACGTGCGACATCTGATCGGGTTTCCCTCGAACTATAAATCTCTTTCCACGTTCAAAGAATCGTGATTGTCGGATATCGGTTCAACGTATCGAGTTGTTGGCAGTGAGCAATTAACGACACGCGTGGCTTTTCTCTCTTTCTTTCCCCGCCCCCCTCCCTTCCCCCTCTTGAGGGAAAAGATATCGCGATAATTAGAGAAAAACTGGCTCGCGCGAATCGCCGTGCAACAAACGTTTTATTAAGCGTTTGTTACGAGGCCGTGTTACTATTAGTCAGATCAGATCTCTCGCAACAGATCTGTGGAAAGAAAAAGAATCTCCGTTAACTACTGGCGATCAATCTTTGCTAGCAATTGCTCTCTTGGTCTGAATAAATGCGTTAGGTTTCTTGCTTCTTTGCATGTTATTAGATTTCCTTTCCTCTTATTTCTCTTCTTTTTTTTTTTTTAATTTATTTATCTTCCTCTTTGCCAAAGATAATGAACTTCTGATAACTGGTCAACTGGTGTAGTATTAATCAAGTATTAATGGGTTTTCAAGGTTTCCATTGAAATTCGAATTTTGCTCTTTAATTATCGTTGATTGCTCTTCTTTTTATCGCTCTGAAAATTAGAGAATTGAATTTTCGATTTTGAAAAAGTTATAACGATTGGGAGAGTTATGTTGAATTACAGTGTAATTGTTAATAGATAACTTCTTATTTTCCCCGCGTTTTTAAGACGTTTCATTTTTTTGAGTAGATAGGGAATAACGATAGAAGAGAACGTCCAATCGTTACTCATCGGTGGTCTTACGACAAAATATACGAAACGTCGACGATGTGTGTCTTACCACTCGAGGCAGCTGTGAACGTTCGCTTTTGTGTTACGCTACACGTTCGGATAGCTTAGCATAAACAAAAGAAACGACGATGAAACGTGGCTGTGCGCGGCAACGAAATGGTAATTCTCACAGTGAGCCTAATTTGTGGTGGAACCTACGTAACAAATTGGGAATGTTACGTGAAAATGAGAAATAAATATTATAATTTTTTTTAACAACTACTCACGAAATTGCAATCCTGATATCTTTGAAGAAAAATTATTTTTGTCTGACTTCTTCTCTTCTATCGAGTAAAATATTATATACATTCCGATTCAAAAATCATAGAACACTTTATACTCTTTGTAAAACTTGAATATGCAATATTTTCCGTTTCGATTTCTTAAATAATTTTCACGGTATATGCAGGCTCTGATTTACATTTTCGTGAAAAATCGTGTAATATATATTTCTATCTGACATCTGGTCAGGCGTAAATATCCGAATATAAAGTTTAAATTTTACATCTGTTTTATCACTTTTAAACTATATAACGTGCCTTTTTGCAGGATAATAAATCTTAGAAATTAAATCTAGAAAACTCACTCACAAAATTATCAAATTATTTCAATCTTATACGAACGACATATCAGATTTACAGAACAACACGGATTTAATTTACAGATGTAAATATTTTATATACTGCAATTTTATTGCAGTAATCACGAACAATCATCACTTTTCTAGAATCCACGAAACTTTTTTTTTTTAAAATAAATAGGAAAGAAAAACTGGTATAACCTAATAATAATTTTAACCAACAAAATCCACCACAAGAGGGAGTTTCTCTCAGTGGGTAAAAATGTTTGACATGTCTTGCGGGGAGGGGAGAGGCTTTAGAACGACAGGGTCAACGAGTCGCATAGCTGTCGCTGCTGTTAAGACACCGGTGTAGAATGAAAGAGTGCGCGCTAAGCGCAGGCCCGTGTCGTGTCAGGCATCTTGTGTCACCTCGTGTCGTCTAGCGTTTTCGTGGCTCTCGCTCTTAATAGAACTCTCTCGTGGCGCGTGTATTCGCCGAACGTGTCACCGAGCCGCCAGCACGAAGACCGTTTCTGACCCCGGATTGACTGACAGACCGGCTGCCTCGGCCTGACTAACGCGTGACCGGGATAACCTCGCTCGACCCCGTTCTTGATCGATCCTCGTCCCGTTTCTGTGTCTTTTCTGTGTCTTTGGTGGATACTGTGATTAGTTTTGGGATCTAAAGATCTACAAGTACAAGAGATCATGAACTTTGATCGATTGAAAGTAGGTTGAGTTAGATTAAATTTGATCATAAGAGAATTGACCACGCGTCGGTCGATAAATGTTATCGATACACGTGAAACTTATCGACGAGCCAAGAGAGAATTCAAACAAAAAATATTCCGCGATACAGGATACCTCACACAAATAGGTACACTATTTCATTATACAATATTTTATAAAATACTTTCATTTTCATTGAGCACACAAATTACTGTATAATAAGTATAATATAAAACTTATGCTCGGTTAAAAGACAATAGACGAGGTGAAGATAAGTTAGGTTAGAAATGAAATACGTTCGTCTAGGATATTATCTTTGGTACAAAGGATATTTATATAAAAGAATTAGAGAAAATGCAGAGGTAAAAGTGTTTTGAAATTATTAAAATTAAAAGTTGTGCACGAATATTCTTCCATTTTGACAATTGGCAATTC